TTTATAATAAATTAAAATAATAAAAAGCATGCTTCCATTTCTACAAAGTTCACACACACCCGACACACACATGTATACTCTATTCTGATTTCTAACAACACAGAGAGAGCTCTGTTGGCCTAGTGGATGAAGCCAAAAGTGGGTGATTTTAATCTGCAGCCCTCAAGCCTGGTTTTAATTGGTTTTGGTCAAACATTCTTCTAAGTGGTATAGCACTGCTCTGTCTATTTGGTATACAGAGGTAACTCATGGTTGCTGTGATGCTGAACATTGTGACACTGATGTGTCAAATGTAATAATGGTTACCCATGGTGGACAGTGTTTGATGGAGCTCTTTGATTAAAACAAGGTTGGAAGCAGGAGTGGCATCCACTTCCGAAATAGCTTGCCTTTGGAAACTCTATGAACTTGGAGAAACGATGAAAGTTATACAAGTGTTCAGGTCTTCGGTTCATAGAGTTGCTTTGAGTCATCTAGGACTTGATGGCACTTAACAACAACAACAACAAGAATCCTGATTTCTATAAAGAGCCATTAGAAAAATAACTCAAAATTTGTATCCTTTCCATAATGGCTGTTTGTGTCTTCGTAGTCATAGATTCCTAGTAAAATAAAAGATATTAATTGGGAAGTTAAGGGCTTGAGCTTGCTGTGTAGATGGATTAACCTTAACAAACAAGATATTCAAATGTAAATGCAAAGTTTTAAGGTGAAATTTAGAAATATGCTTGACAAAAGCAGTATCTCTAGTGACCTTGATAGCTTCCCATCCTCCCCTCCCCACCAATAGGAAGTGCAGCATCTTTCTGCCTAAGGAAACATTCCCATTCATTGTTGATTTCCCATTTGACCAAATGTCAACAGTTTTAACTGACTAGACCCTTAATGCACCCCAGTCATTTTGACAATCTGGAACCTTCCTAAAGTTGGGTAGTTTTCATCCTTTCAGAAAATGAATGGGGCAGTAATTACAGGAAATAGAAGAGCACAATGCAAGAAAGAGTAACAATTTTTCTCATTCCATTACTAGACCTGTAAAGGACTAGGAAGAAAATGTAATTTATAGTGACTCCACTTCCAAAACAACATACTTCTGGAAACTACGAACTTTGATAAATGTCGATAGTTGTAGAGGGGCTTCAAGCCTTTTGTTCATAGGGTAGCTATGAGTCGTGCTCCACTTGAAGGCAATCAATAACACAATAGGAACTAATTCATGTAAGGAACTCTAGTGGTTTAGTGATAAGGAATTGCACTGGACAAAGGTACACAGTTCAAATCTGCCAGCTGCTCCTCTGGAGAAAGATGGCCAGACTCCTCCTGTGTGATTTAAAACCTCTGAAAACCTGCTGGAGGGTCAGCTATGATTTGGGTTTAACTTGATGGTACATAACCATAACCTATCTATATAGACCAAGGACCATAGCCTGATATTTCCCTCCAACTATGTGAGTCTGTTTTATGTAACCCAGATCTACACAATAAAAATGGACATTTAAGAAGCTTCATTATTGATTGGACAGTTGGAGCCCACCAAGTTTTCACTTGCTGATTTTTCAGAAGTAGATGGTCAGGCCTTCCCTCCCTGCCCCAGGAAGCTTGAGGCCAGTTACTTCTTTTTTAATGCTTCTCATGAATTTTCTTTCAGACCATGAGGAAATTTGTATTTTTTTTTCTTCCCTATTCCCTCGAAGGAGTCTTGAGGGATAATGATTAACGGCTTGACAACTAACAAAAACATTGGCACTTCTGACTCACCAGCTTCAGTGTGAAAGAAAAGCTCAGGAGATCTGGCCCCATAAAGGTTATTGTTAGGTGTCCTTGAGTCAACTACGACCCAGATGCCCTGTGAACAGAGATCCGAACCCTGCCCCAGCCTATGTCGTCTTCACAATCCCCCAAACGAGCCCTTTGCTGCAGTCACTGTGCCAAGCCCTCATGTTGAGGTTCTTCCCCTCTTCCTTTGACCCTCCACCACTCCTAGCACGATGTTTTTTCCAGAGACTAACCCCTCCTGATAACAGTGTGTGAAATGAAGTTGCACCATCCTCGCCTCAGTTCTCCTCACAGGTAAGCCTGCTTTGAGGAGGACTCCACCCAATAGCACACACCAGCAATAGTGTTTTTCTAATAGAAAACTGTCAGGCCATTACTGAAAAAAATCTCCAACCCAGATTTCTAAATTTATGGTATTTAAAAAAAATGTATTTATCTATTCACTACCTAAAGGATTGCTTCTTTCAGTCTATAAATTTTCCTTTTTTCTAATTAAACTTCTGTTACAAGCCATGTAGATTAAAAAAAAGAGCTTAGCATTTTTTCTTTTCCCTTCCCATATTTCATAAATGATTACTCTTTGCAAAAGATTTTGTTATGACTCTTGTGATTATTTGAGAAGAAAATATAGGTATACTATTTTAAATATTTAAAGAGAAATGGATAAACTTTTAGTCAGCTTTAGGTCAGGTAGGATCAAAAGACTTTTAGTGCTTTTGTAAACAAAGGAAAAATTTATTAACAAAATCTTTTGAATGAGGGAACTCTGGTGGCATAGGCTGTAGGGAGTCGTCTAATAACTCAGAGGTACCACTCTCTCTTTCAGTTCAAATCCCCACTCAGCTCTTTGGAAGAATAAGCAATCTCCTCCTGAAAACACAGTGGAGGGTCAGCTATGAGTCAGTTCCAGCTCAACGACAATGAGAGGTTGAGTTTTGAACAAAGTTTGAGAAAACAAATTATTTCAAACTAATTTAAAAAAAATACATTGATATTTCCACAAATAATATATTCAAAGGTAGCCTTAGATGAAATCATTCAACCAATTGAAATGTGGGATGAAATTCCACTGAAAATGAAAATTTCCAGCTGAAAACTGGAATTTGATCCTAAGCTGGCATGAATGGGAGAAGTGTCTATTTCTATCCTGTGCCCGTTTTACGATTGGGTTGTGTACCTTTTTCTTTTTGAGGTGTTTATGACCATTCCTGAATCCAGTTTAGATTTTTGGCTGTTCCTGGTTGATGTACTGCTCCAGCTTTTCCCCCTACTTATCTTCAGAAGCATTTTATTTTCACGTGGCATTAATGACATTGTTCTGTAATTTCCGTATTCTGTTAAATCACTTTTCGTGGAACTGGCAGAAATGTGGATGGATCTTTTCAGGTCGTTTGGCCTGGTATCTGTACTCTTAATTTCTTGGCATAGACGAGTAAGCACATCCAGGGCTGCAACTGCTTGCTGAAACACCTTAGCTATATGCTGTCAACTCTTGGAACATTATTTTTGTTGTTATTAGTTTCTTCAGTGGAACCCCCCCCCAATACTTTAAAGGAAAAAAAAAGAACATAAAAAGACCAACCTTTAAAAAAAACACAAAACAACCAAACGACTCATTGTTCTCAAGCTGCAATCAACTCAGCTTATGTTCCTGCACTTTTTCAGAGGCTTTAAGTCACATGAGGAAAGATTGCCCATATTTTTCCTGCAGAGTAGCTGGTAGATTAAAACTGCTTTCCTCTGAGTTGGTGACACCATCTCCTTACCCACAGGGCCAGCAGAACTCCCTAGAAAAAGTTTAGAAATACTTAAAATGAATATGATTTTTAATTTATAGATAACTCAAATCTATGGGAAAGAAACGATGTACACCAATTTTCTGAAGTACGTAGACTTCTATGTTATGCCAGTGATGAACGTGGATGGTTATGACTATACCTGGAAAAAGGTAAGTGAAAATAAAGCATTTTCTTTGGGAATACAGGATATCCAGTCTGAATTATTCATAGATCCCTGGCTCCTTAGTTCATTATTTTAATTTGCATTATGGAAAATTATAAATATTTAGAAAGTAGGTATCAATTCATGACCAAGTAATCTGTATTCCCAACCACAATGAGACCTACTTGTCAAGCAGATCCCTATATCACATCATCCACAAATATTTTGGTATACATCCATAAAAGAAAAACCAAACCCACTACCATCCACTACAACTCAACTAACAGTGACACAAGCTAGAGTCGAATTTCCCCTTACAGTTTCTGAGGCGCTAAATCTTTACTGAAGGAGACTGCCTCATTTTTCTCCCACAGAGCACCTGAGCTTCAAACTGCTAGAATTTTTTATTAGGAGTCAAGTGCATATGAACTTATGCACTCAGGACTCCCTCTAAAAGAAAAGTGTTCCAGAAATGTCACAGCACAACTGTTGTTAAAGTTGAGCAATAGTAACTTAATATCATTCAATGGCAAACCAGTAGTCAAACTTCCAAATGTCGTGTTTCTTTTTCTCATTTATTTACCATTCATTACTTCTTTTATTCAGAAAGCAAATAATCTTCAGTGTTACATGATTCATGTGTTTTGTATGTCTTTTTTTCATCTATCCCCTCTCTCTCCATCTCTGAATTTTTTTCTTTTTTCTTGTAATTAACTGTCAAAGAAAAGAGGCCTGCAAAGCTAGTTTTATTAAATATATTGCTAAATACATGTTAAAGTTTCATATATTCTAAGTACATTGCCATGTTTATCATTTAATATATCCCTCTGTAGTATAAAAAAATTACTATTTGGATTTTAAAGACCCAACCAGATTCAGGCTTGATTTTTCTACTAAGGCCATGCCATTGTGTTTTCATTCAGAATGGACACGGTACCTGACTGTTTCTTTTGTGATATTGGAGACCATTGATGCATAATCACAGGATCCACTAACTCTTAGTAAGAATAATTTGAATAGCATTTTAAGTTGCAAAATCATTTTTTAAAAACTAGTATAAAAAAAGGTGTAGCATATCTTTCTAACTGAACTTGCATCCTCGTAGAATTGCATGCTAGCTTATATGTAAATTTAATTCTCTGTACTTTCTAATCATGAGCACAAATACAAGTATCATAGTAAAGCTCATTTATATTGAAAAATATTATTGTTTCTAATTTCTCAGCATTGTGAGTCATGTGAAATTATTCACTAAATATGAAATACAGTTCTTTATAACTTAATAATGAGAAATACATCAAAGCATAACTTCACATAGAAGATAGATGATAGATAGATAATAGGTAGGTAGGTAGGTAGATAGATAGATATCAATGATAGATGATAGATAGGTGAGAGAGAAAGAGCGCGCGCGCATAGCACTCATGTGCCATAGTCTGTAGGGAATTGTGTTCCTAACTCAAAGGCTATGCTCCTCTGATGGTTCAAATCCACCAGCTGCTCCTTGGGAGAAAGATGAGCCATCTTTTGGCTCTTCCAGAGTCTGCATTTTTAGGTCCATAGACCCAGTGACTGTAACAGTAGGTTCTAGTGTGGCAGAGATGAGGAGAATGACAGCAGATAAGATGAAGAGCTGGTGTCCATAGGGTTGCTCAACAGCTTGTTATAGCAACAGAGTTCACCCGCTCAAGCCATCTATTCTTGGAGTTCATTTGAATGCTGAACTGATTCCCTGGAGTCTCCTTCCAGGCAAACAAAAGCTGAGTGAACAGTTTATCTTAGACTTTGGGTTCTTATGGGAAATCATCAGTGTACAGCCAGCTTTGAAGAGCAGGGCCTCCAGGGTCTGACAGGAGACTGCCTTAGGTAGTAAGGCATGGTTGGTGGCTTCTTTGTAACCTGTCCTGTGCTTTGGTCAGCTCAGCATATCTTAAGCTCAAGGAACTGAAGAACAAATTCAAACCTCGAGTTGCTATAATCAAGGATGCTTTCGGCAGAATGTTAAATGATCCAGGAAGTATTAAAAGAAGATGGAAAGAATATACTGAATCACTGTATCGAAAGGAATTGGAAGACACAGAAGAATTTCACGAAACAACATATGAGCAAGAGCCTATGGTGATGAAAGAAGAAGTTCAGGCTGCTTTGAAGGAAATGGCAAAAAATAAGGCTCCAGGAATAGATGGTATACCAATTGACATATTTCAGCTAACAGATGCTGCCCTGGACGTGCTCATCAAGTTGTGCCAAGAAATTTGGAGAACAACCACTTGGCCAACTGACTGGAAAAGATCGATATTTGTCCCTATCCCAAAGAAAGGTGACCCAACAGAATGTGGAAACTACAGAACAATCTCACTGATTTCACATGCAAGCAAGATGTTAATGAAGATTATCCAAAAATGACTGGAACAGCACATCAACGGAGAACTACCAGAAGTGCAGGCTGGGTTTAGAAGGGGTCGTCGTACTAGGGATATTGTAGCTGATGTTAGATGGATCTTGGCTGAAAGCAGGGAATACCAGAGGAATGTCTATCTGTGTTTAATTGACTATGCAAAGGCATTTGACTGTGTAGATCATAACAAACTATAGCTGACTCTGAGAAGAATGGGAATCCCAGAACACTTGATAGTTCTAACTCGAAACCTATACTTGGACCAGGAGGCAGTTGTCAGAACAGAGCAAGGGAACACTGCATGGTTCAAAATTGGGAAGGGCATATGCCAGGGATGCATCCTATCTCCATACCTTTTCAACCTATATGCAGTACAGATTATAAGGGAGGCTGGACTCTATGAGGAGAAATGTGGGGTCAAGATTGGTGGACGATTTATCAACAATCTGTGTTATGCAGATGACACAACCCTGCTTGCTGAAACTGAAGAGGACCTGAAGCACCTGCTGCAGAATATCAAGGACTGCAGCCTACAATATGGATTGAGGCTCAATGTCAAGAAGACAAAGATTCTCACCACTGGACCAATTGGCAGCATCAGGTTGGATGGTGAAGAAATTGAGATTGTTCACAGCTTTAGTTTGCTTGGCTCCACAGTCAACACTCTTGGCACCAGTAGCCAGGAAATTAAAAGGTGTATTGCCATGGGAAAGTCTGCTGTTAGGGACCTCTCCAAAGTACTGAAGAGCAATAGTGTCTCCTGGAGACTAAGGTGCGTCTGATACAGGCCATGGTCTTCGCAATCACTTGTTATGCATCAGAGAGTTGGACAATGACCAAGGAGGATAGAAGGAGAATTGATGCCTTTGAGCTGTGGTGCTGGAGAAGAGTATTGAGAATACCATGGACTGCTAGGAAAACAAACAGATTTGTCCTGGAAAGGGTTAAACCAGGTGGCTCCTTGGAGGCAAGGATTCTGAGGCTCCATCTAACATACTTTGGACATGTTGTGAGAGACCGGTCCTTGGAGAGGGACATCATGCTTGGGAGGGTGGAGGGACGGCGCAGGAGAGGAAGGCCCTCTATGAGGTGGATTGATTCAGTGACTGGGATAATTGGGTTGGGAGTGTCAGAGACAGTGCGATTGGTACAGGACAGAGCGGAGTTTAGGGCTATTGTACATAGGGTCGCTATGAGTCGCAAGAGACTCCATGGCACATAACAACAACAACAACAACAACAATGTTTTATTATAAATAGAACATAACAAAGTAACAATCTGCATTAATAAAATCAGTATCATTCATTTCCACTGTCAATTCTTTGGAGCATCTTCTGGATATGTTCAGGTGACTGCCCAATTTGAATCATACTGAAATGGAGCAGCCAGAGCCCAATGTGGGGGAGAGGATCTAGTCAGGTCACAAAACCACAAAAAGGATGTTTCCTTTAATAAAACATGCTCACATCCTATTGCAATGAACACTTAGTTCTGTTGAGTTGCTTTCCAGATAGACTGTGCTTACACTGAAACCAGATGTGTGTGCAGTCCACCAAACCACCATCCTCCAACCCTTCTATGACCTTCCTCTGGAGGCAGCAGAGAGTCTTCTGCCAGGGACGGGGAAGAAAACCACACTATACCTCTAACCTGCACTCACAAAGATTCTGTAACCACATCACCCCATAATAAGTCATGCCCTCTGGTCCACATGTCTTCAAAATAGAATCCATCTTGGAAAACTAACTGCATGCATCTGATTTTACTAATCCCATCTGCACGGGCTAGTTTCTGGGCAAAGTCAGCCTCTCTCAAGACAATTGCTGAATATGCAAAATTTTGTTAGCATTAAAATAATAAAATAATGTTGTTTTTATTATGTGCTGTTGAATTGTCTGTTACTCATAGTGACACCTGTGAACATTGGCTATGAACTCTGCTCCATCTTGAGCCAAGCTCATTGACTCTAACACACCCTCATTACCACAATTACTATGTCAATGCATCTCATAATACATAATAAAATTCTGTCTCTTTGTTCACCTCACCAAGGATTGAGATGTGTGTTGCCAAGGCTGGGATAATTGGGTTGGGAGTGTCAGAGACAGTGACCCAGTTAGCTCTGTCTGCCAGAAAAAAACAGGGAGTTCTGGTTACCTGGTCCAGAGAGAGTTATGCTGCTGACTCAAAGATTGTCCTAGAGTGCTGGTTAAATTGGTCATTTTCAATCTCTATGCTCCAGAAATTTATTTCCACAAGAATTATAAATTCTGTTCTTCAATAGCAGTATCAGTATATAAATATGATAACTTGCTGAATATCAACCATGTATTAGGCTTTCAGCTAGGTAGTCCTCATTCATCCATGCCTACACACTTGTACTCACGTTACTCTTGTCATCGTCCTGACGTTTTTCCCACATACCTCCTATACACTTTTCCTCTATTGTGTATACATTATAACTGACAGGAAATAACTTAGGTATCATTACATGCTCACTTATCACTCCAGCTATTATTATTTCTTCCTTCCTGTGAAAAACTTACAAAAGTGCATTCTTCATTATACACATAAATTCAGACTCATTGCCATCAAGTTGGAACTGAGT